GCCACTTGGCACACACGTACCTTGAACAAAACTAAGAATTTTGATAAACGTACACAAGCTCTATCTGCATAATTTCACTCTATTTTGCATACATTAAAAATGGCTGCCATTGAAAAATCAAGCAAAATGAAAATAACTCTAAAGTATCATACACATCTTCGATTTTCATGAAAATGGTGTCAAAATGAATGTTTTTGGGGATGCCTTAACCATTGAAATCAAAATTTTGGATGTAGAAGGTCCGGTTTTTTATTTATTCAATATTAGTCACATGATGTGATTATGAATTATATATATTTTGTATATTTCTAATTGACAAGCTTCGACCTCCGCTTTCACCAGTCACCCCATTGATGATGCTTCCCCTTTTTAGGGAATCAGCTCACAGTCCAATGATATTATTCCATGGGATGAACACTGTTGCTGCTGTTACAAAGTAACTGAATTCAGGACAGACCCCGGTCGTGGTTGCTGATCAGCCACTCTTTACATTGGCAAAGAAAATTCCGTGGAAATTTTCGGATGTCGTGGGAGAGGACAAGTTTGTGGTGATGCTTGGGGCACTGCACACTGAGAAAATGCTGTTTGAAGCTTGGAGTAACTATTAATAGGAGAGGCCGCGAGTCGCGTAACGTGAAGCCGCTGCAAACGACGGTCGCCATGTTTGTGAGATCAGCTCAGTTCTCTCAGTTGTAAACTTAGTGTCAACCGAATGGCAGTTTGCGTAGCGTTTGGGTCAGGTGGGCCTCCCATTCAAAGGTCCCGGGTTCGAATCCGAGTAGTGACGGAAAAATTTTATTCTCTAAAATTCGACTTTCTCTTTCGTCTGTTTTTGTCTCCACTTTCTGTCCCTACCTCCTCAGGGCTTCGCACTCTTTCTGCAGCCTTTCTACTGCTACTCCTTGGCTCCTTCTTACCTCTGTCTTTCAGCCACACCCCTGATCTTCTGGTAGGAAAGATCTGCCCCTAGCCTTCTCGGACAAGGGCGAAAAAATCTCGGAGGCTCGACGGAGGTCGCGTATGCAAGTTGCGCAAATTAAAGGTCCTTTGGTGGTCTAAAATCGATAAGAGTTGGCTTCGGTCGCCACCCGGGCAAAATTCAAAATTTCCTACCAACTTAAAATGTTTAATGTGTCCCTCGCAGTCATATGACTTATGCAGTTGCGAGTGCCGTAAAACACTTATAAGGCCTACGAAAAATGTTTTAAAAAATATCAATGGCACTGAACTTGATGACGAAATGCCTTCTGATTTAGCCGTAAATGCATCTCACAGTAAAAACAGAATGGAAAAAGATTGCAGAAAATTCAGTTTGCCATAATGATAACTGCACGTTTGTGCCTAGATCTAGTCTGGCATACTTGTCAATTTACTCTGAGAATACTGTTGCTTACATGGCTGGTTTTGTGTTGTTAAGGTTTACAAAGCATTTGAAAATGTGAAACCTTCATCGGTGCCTTAGTTGACTCCAGTGTGTCAGATGTAACTTCCTTGCTGTTTTTGAAGTCTCGTCGGAGGTTTGACAGTGCCTTCAAAGAATGTCATTGAAGTGTGTTTGGTGTGTGACTAACATTTTCGATGTCATGTGTAGTCTGGCATTGTCAAAAGAAAAATGTCACAAATTAGTGCAATCTGTCTTGAAATTCTTATTATTATAAGCCTATCATTTCAAATGTTCTATTAATTTTTCAATACACTTAACAGTATTTTGTAAAATTTAGATAAAGTGTCTGGGTGTTTTAAAGGTGCCCATCCCTCATCGTTTTATTTTTTTGGGGGGGAGCGGCGCTGTTTTATTCTTTTTTTTGGGGGTGTTTTTTGTGGAGGGGGGAGGGGGTTAATTTCCACCATCATACTTCACTCTTATCTGCCTTGCCCTCTCCATCCTCATTCTTCGCCCATCCCATCCCACCCTCACTACCATCTTTTGTGTAATCATTTTCAATTTTGTTATATATATATAATATATATATATACATATATATATATATATATATATATATATATATATATATATATATCTAAAACAAGTATAAAAAATGTTCATACCGTCACAATGTGTATACATAGTACATGTATTACTGTAAATATTCGACTAAGTGAGCTGGTAATTTGATGCAAGTAAGATTTGTTAACATCCTTATTATATTACAACTGTACGTGAGTGCTTATAATGCTGTAATTAACATTGACAAAGAAATTTTGAGAGACAATGGAGTCCGAGCAGCTTGTTTTGAAAGGAGATTACGCAGCGTACGCTGCATTGTTTTGAACTTACAAAGATGGCGGCAGGCCCGATAAGCTCCGCCCTTTTGGCTTCAACTTGGTTAGAACTGTTGAGCGGGCGACGCAACGTTAGGGCCTCTCCCTATATAGTTACTCCAAGGTTTGAAGGGCCTAGGGGAGTGGCTGGAAGGGAGTGGATGGACATCACTTCTGTCAGTCAGTGGTGTGGCTTCAAGTGGAGTTGCTGATTCTATGAAATAGGTGACACATCTGACCCGCTCTCGCTACATGCACCAAGTCACAGCTCTTGCTTTGTATAGTTTACTGAGACAAGCCCATCGTGAATACCTGACAACAACTATTGAAGATGAGCCATAGGAACTAGATGCTTGGATATGTATCAGCGAGACTGAGAACCGCACTTCTTGTACTGGCACCAGACTCTTGAGCTGCAGCTGATGGTTCTGCAGTTTGTGAAGTTGATTCGGACTGCATCGTTTGATCTGTACTTAGTGACTTTAGAACATCTCATGCCAAGGGTGTATGCTCTTGATCACAAACACTATGTCCGCAATCTACCCTTTCATCTACGAGATATGTGTGACCTTCGAAAAATGCATCCAACAGTTCATAAAGAGCTCATGAAGGGAAAATTCGTAGGACAGAAGACAAGTCGAGCATTTTCTAGCATTGCCTTGGACCAAATTCATGAGCAGCTCATCGGTTCTCTGAAGGGTCATGGAGGAATAATTGGACTGACTGGGGATCCTATAGCCCTTGAAAGATTTATGATTACTGGACTAAAACTTGCTCACATCATTGAGGAGTTCGAAAACACACCTCAAAACAGTCACAGGAAGCACCATGAACAGTATCCTAAATGTCGAGAGACTTTCAGAGAAGATGTGAATGGCTTAATCAGTGCATTCTCTGATGTGGGAAATCCTTTCCTTGAAGTACCTGGGCAATTGATTTCTCTTGACAGGTCCAGAATCATGACAGGTGATGTTATGAGCTCTGTGAGAAATATCACAAAAATTGGAAAAGATAAGTATGATACATTCTTTTCAGAAAGGGTTTCATCCAGTACATCCCCATGGACCTCCACCTTTCACCTGAATAGATTGCCTCTTTTCGGTGTAAAAGCTCAACAACGTAAAGAAAAATCCGACCTTGCTTCCTTGAAGGAAGAACGAACCCAGTTTATTCAAATGATGCTGTCTGGGCACTCAGGAAGGGACATTGGTGAAGAAATGTTTGCACATGAGAACACTTCATTGCAAGTACCACCATCTCTCAGTTCCCAGGGTCAGATGCACAAAGGAACAAAATCTGAAATTCTCAAGGGCCTCGAAGGTGATATTGAGATTCAACTTCTGATACATCCTTTAATTCTGATGTTGTTATTCTAGATGGAGCCTTCATCTTGCAATCACTGAGACCTGGAACAGCATCAACATTTCAGGATTATGCAGACCAGGTGTTTCTTCCATATATTGTGGTGTCATGGTTAAAGGGTGTGTAGTGGGATGCCTACAAACACGATAATCTCAAATCCAGCACTCGGGAAACCAGAGGCAGTGGCATGCGGTGTCGAGTGACATCATCAACCAAAGTACCGAGTAACTGGCAAGGATTTTTACGGCTACGGGTCGATGAGAACAAATCAGAACTGTTTTCTCTGTTAGCAGAGAAAATACAAGAGATGTACACAGAGGGCAAACAAGTTGTTACAACCTTCGGAGAGAATGTTCTCACTTCACCTGTTCGCTCAAGTACTCGCGCTTTAGCACCTTGTATTCACGAGGAAGCTGATTCAAGGATTTTTTCCCTGTTGCAGATGCGACACATGAAGGATTTAAACACATCACCATTCGTGCTAGTGACAGTGATGTTGTGATAATAGCTGTGTTCTGTTTCCAAGATCTCAACCTTGATGAGCTCTGGATAGCCTTTGGATCCAGCAAATCATACAGACATATCCCAGTTCACCAGATTGCTATGCAGTTGGGACCATCCAAGTCTCGAGCTCTTCTAGCATTTCATTCTCTAACCGGCTGTGACACCACCTCAGCATTTCAAGGAAAAGGCAAGAGAACAGAATGGGCTGTTTGGCAGGAATTTCAAGAACTCACTGCAGCACTTCAGCGCCTGTCAACATTCCCTAGTAGAATCGATGATGACGTCACGTCCTATGTAGAGGCATTCATCGTTCGCCTTTACGACAGGTCCTTGGACATCACATCAATCAAATCAGCACGCATGGAATTGTTCTACTACAAAGGCAGGCATTTTGAGAACTTGCCACCTACAAAGGATGCATTGCTACAACACACTTTACACGCTGCATATCAGGCAGGCCACATCTGGGGCCAAGCCCTCATCTGTTCTCCAACCTTGCCTGACCCATATGAAAGGGGATGGGTCATGACAAATGACAAGTGGTTACCTCGATGGACAGCACTTGCTCCTATTACAAAGAACCACAAATGCCTTGTGACATGTAAGTGCAAGAAAGTGTGCAAGCCTCCATGCAAATGTTGCAAAGCTGGTGTGAAATGCAGTACTCTCTGTGCATGCAGGGGTGTTTGTTTCAATCAAGGAAAATAATGTGTACATATCAGTGAACATAACGCATTGGTTATTGAAAGAATTGGCAAAATATGTGTGAACCTGGCCTGCTAAAGGGATTTTAAATTACAAAAACAAAACCACAAGTGTAGTCCCAGCATCTTCCCAAAATTATGGTTGTGCGTCATTTTTTTAATTTTTCAAGGCAGTCATTTTTAATGTATGCAAATTAAGAATCAATTTGACCTTTTATGATAATTCTTTGGGTGTCATTGAGTTTGTCAGCCACAACTTACTATGAAACAACACATTTATATTATATTTCTATCATTCTTCTGTCAAAAGTTATATTCGGTTCGTATTTTCATTATACTTCAGTGGCGGCCATTTTTCATTTATGCAGGTTAAGAGTGAATTTGACCTTTTATTATAACTTTGATGGTGTCATTGACTTTGCCAGCCATATATTTATATGAAACAACACCAAAATTAATGTTCTACCATTTGTCGGTCAAAAGTTATATCCAGTTATCATTTTAATTATATTTCAGTGGCGGTCATTTTTATTTTATGCAAATTAGGAGTGAATTTGAACTTTTATTATAACTTTGATGGTGTCATTGAGTTTGTCAGCCATATATTTATATGAAACAACACCAAAATTAATGTTCTACCATTTGTCGGTCAAAAGTTATATCTAGTTATCATTTTCATTGTATTTCATTGGCGGCCATTTTAATTTATGCAAATGAGGGCCTGAATATGCATGTGGACCTTGTGTCCGTTTCATTTTTCCAATGATATGGTGTAAGGTACTTACATACCAAGTGGTTCCTTCCTACTAAAATTTGCAGTGGGTAATGGGACTACTGGCCTAGGTCAGCCCACTAGTAGGTACACAGAACCAATAGGATGTTGTATAAGGGTTGATAAGGCAGCAATGGTAAATGCTGACGAGTAGCCTCTTTTGTATCCCTAGGTGATGCTTTCAGTCGTGGAACAAACACCTTTGGACGAGAGTATATCTGTTCATATTCTTCGCCATGCAGAATGAGTTCGATTGTTGTTCGGGTGCGTTGTTCCATCGAGTGAGCTTCATTTCCATATAAAGCCACGGAGACTGCATTGAATAAACAGCTCCCATCACCACCCACTTGTATAGGTTTTCTTCCGTTGTCTTTCCCATTAAAGGATTTTAATTTGCTGTATGTATCAGAATCCACCAACAAATCGGAATGAGGATACTTGATACATTGAGTGGGGGTGTCCAAGTTGTAATGGCGAAGTAGAATTTGTTCCATTTTAGCCCCAGAGCGCTGACGCTTTTATCATCTGTCATCGGTCGCTGCAGACTGGATCTGCAATAGAGAAAAGGGAGCATACACATATTAGGCCTACGTCATCAAAAATATTGCTCATTTTCTACTCCCCACCCCCTGTCGCCATCTGTTATCAACGTTCATGTTTAGCCCCAGAGCGCTGGCGCTGTTTATCATCTGTCATCAGTCACTGCAGACTGGATCTGCAACTGAGAAAAAGGAGCGTACACATATTATGTCATAAAACATTTTGCTCATTTTTTTACCCCCCCCCCCCCTTGTCACCATCTGTCATCAATACCCAGCCCTTCTCCCCCCCCCCCCTCTCATTAATATAATCATAAGCTGTTAAAAGCTAAACGAACAGAACATTTACAGACAGACAGCAGACAGACAGAATGTATGGAACTCTTTACCATGTTTTCTTACCTGAAATCGAAATGACCCTCGAATGATGCACAATTCTTGCAAATAAAATCATGAGGCAGGTGGCCCATGTCTATGAACTGTATTTCTGCGATACATTCGCATTCTCTGTGAAACCACTTCTCACATTTGACACAGAACACTGCATCCATAATTTGGCATTATTTGAAACAAACACCACAAGGCCATTGTGTCTTGCGAGGCATCTTTACTTGATGGGTTTGATTTGTTGATATTTTAAATACTTTTGGCGGGCGCATTCTTGGTGAGGAAGTTGTAAATTTTGACTTGCCGGAAAAAATCGCGCTGCATTTCGGGAAGATGTCAAATGTGACCATGCCGGCAGACCTGCCAATGCCAACCTTCACGCTTTGAGCGTGAGACTCACGCTTTGGCATGTCATCTCACGCTCTCACGCTAGGCCATGAAATCTCACGCTTTTCACAGAGTCAGTGAGTGAAATGTCTAAATTGCCGTTTGACATTTTATCTACTCGTAATTCTTTTGTAAAAGCTGTGCGACTGCATCGTATTAAAGATATTAAGTGACTTAAGCCCACTCTCGCCTCTCTTTAATGAACAATAGATGATGATACTAATACTATACAGATGGGCTCATAATCGTAGCATATTACTTGTATATTAATTGAATTACCCAATGTTCACATACACTCTTCACATTTAGACTTCCCTAGCGGTTAGACAGATGACCTTGTAGTGAACTCCGAATACATCGATGTATAACCACATAACCACATGAGTATTAAAATAAGTATCACTACACAATCTAGATCTAGTTCTCATCATCTTTTACAACACTATTGTACACCTGTAGGCCTAAGTTGTTGTAATTGTAGTTTGGTATAATTTAATTAATAAGACCAGTAGGCCCACACTGATGACAATTTTTTATCAACTACCGCAAAAATATGATTCCCCCCCCCCCCCCCCCCCCCCCAAACTGGCATTGTGCCTCAGGATTATTACAGTGCACTCTGCCGTACTAATAGTAGTATTTACAACATACTCAGTAGGAGACTAACGGGTGAGGGGAGTGATGGAAGGGAGGGTGTAGGGGGGGGGGGGGTATCTAACCGAATACACGTGCGAAAATAAGAGTACTACCGACATTTTAGGGCACGCTGACCTTGGTGACCTATTTACCTTTTACTTTTATTGCGAACTGCCTGTTTGGTATGTTTTTGACACCTTTGGTGATAGCGAATTTCGAGAAGGGTGAGGTGAGCAACGTTATCCTTTTCAGTCTTTGCCCATGATACGATGAATAATACACTATTGTATTGTAAGTCACCGGCATTGTGGTACCGGTAGCATAATAATAGTAATAGATCTTTAACGTATCAAGTATTAAAACTATTTTGCCGTGATTTAAAAAAAATAATTTTTTTTTTGGGGGTGGGAGATGATAGTTTTCACTTATTTCGCAGCAGGCCTCGTCAAGATCGTTTTGAATGTGCGATTCTAAAAGCTGCACAAAGCATAGATTTTAGTTAGTTAGCCGATGTCGATGTTTCGGAAAATGGGTAAAAATCATACACCGGCAGCACCGCAGAGTTACAGTTAAAGTCTAGTATATTGGCACCCTTTAATTTCAATATTTTGTTATTTTTCTTTTTAATCATAGATATATTTCAAATAGTTGGATTAGTCATTCTATAAGTTTAACGTCGTAGTTTAGCTTCTTTTACATAATTACGGCCATTTTGAGCACAGAAATACGTGTATATGTGATAGGTAGCAAATTGAATAAGATGGAAAGTCAAATCTCACGCCAAGAGCAGCAAATCTCACGTTCACTCAGCTCTTTGGGTTGGCAGGTCACAAACAAAAAATTGCTTTAAAAAATCGTAAGGCAAAATAATCAAAAAATAAGTCTACGGACGACACGGGACGGCAATTAGTAGGACCGCTAGATCTAGATCTAAATCTAGAATCTAGATCTACATCTAGATCTATCTAGATCTAGAATCTAGATCTAGATCTCTTCCTAAAGATAAAGGTGAGAGAGAACGTTGGATGAAAGCAATCCCACGCGACAATATACTCGATACTGCAAATGTTGTTTGTATTAAACATTTTCCATGGATTTGAAACTATTTCTGTCAAAGGAAGATTAAGACCAAAAAACCCTCCATCGCTATTTTCTAATTTGCCCAAAAGTTTTATTCCAACACCAGTGCCCTTAGCAAGAACAACATGTCATGTAGAGCTAGATCTAGGCTAGTTTTTCAGTCAGATCAGTTGAAAGTGACCAGTTAGAAGAATATTCACAAAAAGACATGGTTTCTTTTGATTCATTGTGTTCATTTGTAGGAGCCAGTGTGTGACAAAGTAGGCTATGGAGAAACTCTTTGAGTGAAATATTTATGGACATCTCACAGTATTATGGTTTTGAGATGAGACAACACAACTGCTTTTTCATGAGCAATATTTTGCTGAACAATTTCTGCAAGATATCCAATCCACCATCTGCGAAAGAACCTAAACAGAATGTCTTAAAGCTGTTTTCATAAACTAGGTCTAGATCTAGATCTAAGTAATTTAAACTTTTTCATAATATTTACACTGTAATGTTTGTGAACGCATAAATTATGTGTGTCTATCTCTAGACTCTAGACTATGTCTCTAGGTGTGTATTACCCATACTTGTCAATGTTTCTACTGTTAGGCCTATAAATTATTCCATGCTTGCATAATGAATGAGTATATTTTTTTTAGCACATAGAGCATGGATTGTGTTTTCCATGGATATGTGCTATAACATGCTATCTTTATTCTTCTTGTTTCTCTCATTATTTTTCTGTGCCCATTGCCAATGGGGAGGGAAGCTCTTTTACCGCACCAATAACGAGAAATGAGACAAGAACTAGAGTCTAGATCTAGAAATCTAGTTATCATAAATCCAATTAAGATAATATTTGTAGTTGTACAAAAGCAGTCTTATTTGATTCCCCTTTCGGTGATCTGATTGCTCTGCTGTCTTATTGTCTCGCGTAGGCTACTGCAGTGACCTCGTTTTAAACTCGCCTCCACATAATTTTCAGACTACGCGCCCGCTGGGGAGGCCTGATTATTCTAGTAAGCCGTGTCTGGAACCAAAAGTCCCGCTATAGCCGTGTTTTACTGTACAATGTTCGCCCCGGGCGCAGGGGCCTTACACAATGAAAGGATCAAACCCAGGTCACAGGTGTGAACTTTTCGACGCCTTTGATTTCTCAGAAAGCTGCAGTAGTAATGCACATTGAGTAACCGATATACTAGTTATAACCACGAGAACTAGCTATTTACAAAGAGATACAACTGACATGAGATGAGAGAAAGCTGGGGGGGGGGA